AAGATAAGAACCAAGAGACTCATGTAATGGTACAAGATCCCAATGATGAATGTAACTGTATTTTATACCTAAAATATACCAATAAAGTTAATGGGGAAAAAATGCAAGAGTTGCTGGTCAGGGAGGCTTCTACCCAGATTTTAAAAGAGGGCCTACGAGGACAGGCAAGGAACCCCTGAGATGGCAATGCATAAAGCTGTGGGAATGTCTACTGCACACCTGACTCTCCTGCCCTTTGAAGTACTTCCAGGTTCCCTTCTTCCCAATCAGTGGCTTTATCTATGCCAACTGGTGTTAAGAATAAAACATTAGGATGATAGAAATCAGAAGTCACTCCAACATCTACTTTCCTTTTCCTGTAAACTCTAGAAAAATGCAAGCCTTGCAGGATTGGGGGGCAGGGGGGCGGGGATCAAACTCAGGCAAGCGCGGTGCCACTGAGCTAAATCCCCGGCCCCTCACAGGAGTTTTTTTAAAGACATCTTGGTCGTTAATGTCAAGAGGAGAATTTTCTGGCTATTAAAAATACATTATCAAATGGAATCCAGGAATCTGGGTTCTTCCTCATGCAAATCTGTGTCTCAGTAAAAAATGTCCCTCTTCTTCCAAAGACAGAATTATTAATAATCACAAAAAGTGTTGTTCTAGCAAAACCAAAATGATACATATAAAAATAAAAACCGCTTTCACAGGCAAAAGTAAGGTATGACTGGTTAGAAAAAACATTGTATCATCACACAGAGTCTGAAACATCACAGCTCTCTTGTAATTGCAGTAACACATATCCGCCCATAGATGGTGCGAAAGGACCGGAAAATAAACACTCAGCTCCAGCTCCAACAGAATCAGATCTAACCTCTGGGTTCACCCACGTTTGCTACAACCACCAGATTGGCGGTGTAGCTTTCATTTCCCTATTACAGTTGGGTAGTCATAAGGGAGGGCTTGGATTTCACCATTTGCAGGAACCCTTCCTGGCACTATAGATCAGTGCTGTATGAAAATGAGTCCAATTCTTCAAACCCTGGTGCGGTTTGCCCATTCTCAGCAACAATGGCCAATACCTGAACCGAGTGTGCTCCATAGAAGTCCAACTCTTCCTCAGGTCTGCCTGAGCTTTCTCGATGCTGTCTACGATCTTCCTCAGTTTTACAGCCCAGAGCTGATTGGCTACTTCAGGTTGCTACTTGTCTTGATGTGTTTATTTAGTGATAATCGTTTCTCAAACCTGATCTTTACCTCAGTAAATCCTCACAATGATGGCATAAACTTGGTAGAATGAACCACAGCTGGCAGGTGAGGAAGAACAGGCCAACCAGTTAGCCTTTTCCAGCCTGTGCTGTTAGGCCAAAGATAAAATCAAGTGACTTTTCAATCTATCTGGCTGTATCTCTTACGGCTTCTTCTTTCATTTTTGTACTCCTAGTTTTGTTCTTTTTTGTTCATTTGTTTTTGTTTTTAGTCCTGGAGATTGAACCCAGGGCCTTGAACACACTAGACAAGTGCTCTATCACCGAGCTCCATTTCAGCTCTTTTTGAGGTTTTAGTTTTTATTTCCAGAATAAGAATCTGTTTGCTGTTAACTGTTGCAGTGTGAATTGACATCATTGGTATAAGTGTGTTGAGACTACTGACACATGTGCAGAATGCTTCTGGAGTGATGTGTGAATGCAGGCAATACTCAGCAATCATGTGAAGTAAGTAAAAGCTTTATTATTAATCCACCATCTTCAGCTGACGAAGCTGAGGGTTAGGGAAGTTAAATAAAGATCACACTACAAAAACATAGCAAGTTGGGATTTGAAGTCAAGCGACCTGGCTTGGGAAACCATTTCCTTCCCCACTGTGCTATGGCTCATTCTGAACTGCCGTTGCAATGTGGAATAAATTCAGTTCATCTGCTCTCTCCTTGCTAAGGTGGTGACAGGTTGATTTAAGAGTGAGCAAGGGGATGGACATAGTTCCTGCCTGGAACCTCCTGGTGAGGGCTTCACAAGTCCATACTTCTGGAGGAATCTAGACCCATAAGGCTTCCCACAAATTCGTGGGAAACTCCCTAAGGGCAGGGCCAGGAATTGAGATGGGGGAATTCTGATTACCAAGAGAATAATAACAGGACAGGCCATTGACTTAGCCTCCTACATTTGTTTCTCACTTCTAAAACAGGCATGGCTCCATCAAGCACACATCAGTGCCTACTACACTAGAATCCCCTACTGGGGGCAGCGTGCAGTATCCCCAACTGGGGAGGTCACTGGGACCCAGAGGAGACAACCTCCAAGTCTGTGAAGACTAAATAGAATAGAAAATGTAAAGTCTGTTTGGAAAATACTCAGAAGTTAGACATAGAATTACCACATTACCCAGGTGTATACAGGGACCCAAGCAGATTCTTTCATACCAGTATTCCTAGCAGCTTACACACGCAGCCAAAAGCTGGAAACACTGCAAATGTTCAGAGACAGATGGATGAAGAATCAAAATTTATTATATCCATCAAATGGGAAGTAATTCAGCAATAAAAAAAAAATGAAGTTTGGTACTTGCTTCAGTATGAACAAACCTTGAAAACACTATGCTAACTGAAATTAGCCAGACACAGAAGGACAAATATTATATGATTCCACCTAAATGATGATGGACAATAACACAGAAGTTACTGGTGTCTGAGGAGAAGGGAATGAGGTGTTATTATTTAATGAATGCAGTGCTACCATTTGCTATGGAAGCTCTGGAAATAGATAGTGGTGAAGTTTACAAATTAGGAATGTACTTAATGCCAGTGTACACTGAAAAATGGTTAAATGGTAAAATTATGTATTTTATCACAATAAAAAATAAAATATAATTTTTAAAGTGTAAAATGTCCATGACATCTGCAAGAGGCTGCTAGTTGCCTAGCCAACATCCATTTGTTTCTTTTTGTTTGTGAACAAAACCTTGATTTGTTGGGGGCAGCAATAAACCCAGCTAAAAATCCATTTCCCGGGTTCCCTGTAGAAACAGGGGGTGACATCAGGGTAAACCATTCAATGAGACGCAAGATTCCAATACTGAGTGGAGCTTCTGGGATAGCTTGTTAGAAGATGAGGTGGAAGACATCAGGCACGCTCCCTTTTGCCTTAATCTCTACCTCTGGCTTCCAGCATGGAAAATAGGCGCAAGGGCTAGAGCTCCAGCAGCCATTCCAGAAGCTGGAAAATAAAGTTGGCTCTAGAGAAGCAGAGCAGATGCTTCTCGGCCTTTCGGCTAAGATCAGAGCAGAAGAACAAAGGAGCTTGAGACACCAATGACTTTCTGAAGTTACTGTGACTTTTGTAACATACTTGTCCCTGGACTCTATGTTACATTAGAGAAAAATACCCATCTCTGGTTTTCACCATTGATTTCCCAGTCTCTGCTACCTGCTGTTGAACACAATTCCTAACCAAGTCTCTACATTAACTCTAGGAAGGGGCTCCTCAAGCCAGGGTTGATTTGATGATGTCAGTCAGAAACACTCTGGGGACTGAAGATGTCAAACAAATTATCCACAGGCCTAATTGGTATTCATTGAAGCAGGAGGAGCTGGGAAAACAGCCCTGCCTGTCTCACTGCCCCAGATGCCATCATAAAAAATGGAAACATCATTGCCTGTCCCCCGAGGTGGCCATGTTGATCAATGTGCTTCCTCTTGAGTGAACTCAAGTGTGAAGTTTGCTGCCCATAGAGTAGAAAGAGGACCAAGAGGCACCTGTCCTTCTCCTGCTAGTTTGAAAGGGAAGTGACAGCTACCATGGCTGTGTTTCGTGAGTGACGATGATGATGATGATGAACCCACCAGGGAAGACAGGCTGCCCCATCATCTTGGTGACTCATTCTTCTCACAGTTCCTGGACATCCTCTGCTCATTGACCTTCACCTCTCCTCCACCCCATACCAGCAACTTCCTGCTGGGTCCACACCCTGGACCTGGTCAGGGCAGGGACTACTCCACTGGCATCTCGCCATCTGACGCTCCACTGTCCTGCTGCTCCACCCTCCTCTTCTACTTCCCACTCCCTCTTCTCCCATTCTTTTCCTCATTATGAGGGTGCATATTGATATGAGGAAGTTCCACACCCTCTGTCAATGTTTTCGATGTACATGTCCTTTGGCCCAGTGTGCTCAGTAGCATGCATGCACTTTGTTCAGGAAAAAAAAAAGAATTTAGAGAATGATATACCAACAAAGCACTCAGTAAATAAATTGACATATATCTATAAAACTAAACACTATGCAGCCATTTTTAAAAACTGGTGCAAGATTGGGGGGTGTACTGATACGTGCCTATAATCCCACCCTGGAAGCTGAGGCAGGAGGTTCTAGTTCTAGGCCAGCCTGAGCTACATAGAGAACCTGTCTCAAAAACAAAACAACTACAACAAAAACTAAAGCAAGGCTGGGATTGGAGCTCAGTGTAGAGCACTTGCCTAACATGTATGAGTCCCAGAGTTCTATCCCTGACACAATCAATAAGTCAATACATCAATAAATCAATAAATAAATGAAAAGTTCCTCAACACACACATTTGTAAAAGGTTAAAATAATATGTACATATATTCATGTTATAAATATATACATATGCAGAAAGTGATATACATGTAGAGATACACACATATATATTAACTACGCTCATCCCCGTAATACACAAACATGTACAAACACAATCCACAATACCTATTGTGCTGTTTTTAAAAGGATACATAAGAAACAAGCAACAGTAGGAGACAGAGATGGGTGATAAGAAAAGGAGATTTATTCTTCACTCTGTGCTCTTCAGTTCTTGAATTTTAAACAATGTGCCAATATCATCTATCCAAATAACTTTCAAGGAAGGTCCGGAGTTTGATCCCTGGTACCCAAAAAGCAAAACAAACAAACAAATAACTTTCAAAAAGATGTTCATTGAAGAAGTTCTCCCTACTTTTTCATCTCATAGTTAGGCTGCCAGTCAGATTCAGCTCCATGCCTGCCCTAGGACAACCTGTTGAGATCCAGCTGACACCCCACCTTTTCCCTCACAGGCCTCATATTTCAGAGGGGATGGTAGGTGTGAGTTCCAACAGCCCGAATCTCCTTGCCTGAGGACTTTTTCTGGCCACCAGAGTCTACATGTGCGACAACTCTCAGACCATGACTCCCCTTGAAATAGTCCCGTGAAAAACATCCCAAATGTCTAGTGTTCAGAATGGGAAATGATTGGGACCCAAGGCTCTAACTTCATTGATGGATTAATCCATTGACAAATTCATAGCTCATAGGGTTTATTAGGAGGTGGGGCCTAATTGGATGAAGAAGGCCACTGGGCCAGTGAAGGGTTTATTTTGTCCCTAGCTCATTCACTTAGGCTCTTCTCTTCTGACTCTCTCTCTCTGCTTCCTGGCTGCCATGAGATGAACAGCTCTCCTCTGCCAGGCCTCTCCACCAGGGTGCTCTACCTCAGACCACAACCCAAGAAATAATGTACCCAAGGTACCATGGATGGAACCCTGTGAAACCATGAGCCCAAATAGGTCTTTCCTCAAGTTGTTATTCTCTGGAATATTCCCACAGTGATGGAAAGCTGACTAAAACAAGTCCTAGCCAACAGCAGATGAGAATTGGGGCACATGGGTGTATAGAGAATTCTTCAGAGGGATGACTTAGGTGTATCTCCATGCTGGCTCCAGACTGCCCCAGGAGAATTAAGCTCTGGGTCTTCTCATTGCATGCCCCTTATTCCCTTCCCTGTCTCATGCACTTCTTGGATATCAGCATTTTTCTGGAATCACCTCCTAGTAAACTCCTTGCTCTAAAACTCTTAAGAGTCAAGATCTACATTCAAGGATGCTACATGAAGATGCAGCCATTTTCAACCTCTCTCTCTTTCTCCCCCCACCCCAAATGTGGCCATTTTTCTTGACCATCTGTGACCTCACATGGTAAATCTCTAACTGCTCCTACTGAACAATCCAGTGACCTTAGAAACCATCATTAGCCATGTCAGCTGATCCTACTCAAATTTAGTATCTGCAGCCTCAAGCTGACTCTTCAGTGTGGCTCACAATTCCGAGACAGGTCCATCCTCCTTTCCCAGGAGCAGCATCTTCAAACTGTCATTAGCAAGCTCTAGCATAATGTCCTGTCCCAGCCTTTTGCAGCATCACCACCTACTTCCCCATCAAGACTGGACTCCTGTTGATTTCTCTACCAAATCTAAGCATTCCATAAATGTTTATTTTCTTTCCAGAATAGATGATTCTTCTTTGGGCTTTTCTTTGTGTATAGTGTGGAAAGATTTTGGAACCAGACAGACATCCTGGCTCCACCATTTAGCTAGTCTTGTGACTTCAGATGATAGGCTTAATCTTTCTCACTTATAACAAAAAGATAACAGTATCTACCTCTAGTGGTAGTTGGAAGAGTGAAGGAGCTATTTCATGTAAAGTATCAGTCAGGAATGTTTTAAATACTCAATAAATATTATTTTCTGTATTTTCCAAATATTCTCCAGTGGCCATTAATAAATATTTTTGAAATCAGAAAAAATGAGTATTATTATGTGTCAGGTAAAAGGGCCAAAGACCAAGACCAGACCAGGCCACAACAAGCCTTTATTAGGGGAATAGATCTGCCGGGCTGTCTCTGAACAAAGGAGAGACAAAAGCAATATGGCCGGGGCAGGGAGAGTCTTTTATAGAGACTGGGGTG